TTACTTAATCATGTTACTTATAAATGCTCTTAAACTACTATCATTTATTTTTGTTTAATAAAGGTTAATAAATTAAAAGGGTGTTATTTTTGCCGCGTCCTCTGTATAAATAAAGAGAGTCGTAGCTAGACGATTTCCCCATAGATGAAATAGAGACTGAGGCGATAGAGATGTGGTTCTACAGAAGGATGCTAAGGATATCATGGACCGAGCGCGTGAGCAGCGATGAGGTCTTAGAAAGGTTGCTTATACTTAATATCAGGAAGAGGCAGCTGAAGTTTCTGGGACACTGTAAGCGTTCTGAAAGCAAAGGAAAGTATTTGTCGCAGATTACTTCCACAACACAAAAAAAAATCCCTCTAAGTACAGACTCGAATATCGGGGGGGGGGGCAGAAAGAAATGCTGAAAACTCGATTCGCCGGTACAATCTCAAATCACAATACATGTAACAAGTCAGAAAAATAACTCACTCTCTAACAAACACCGTGGCCAAAAATGCCCGAATTTTCCGATCTCGAATCGAGAACACCAACTGCTTTTATCGGCAGAACCTATTTGTTTTCATTCGTCGACAGCTGGGATTAGGGTGTTCAGTAATTTGCATATCAAAATTCTTTTATCATCTTGCGGCTTCAGCCGAGATTGAACTCACTACACCTTTCCAGTATTCCTTATCTGTCATAACTAATACTTTGATTGGTGTAGTTCATAATCTTGTCAAATAGCTGAATTCTTGATGCTTCGCTAGGGCTATCAAGGGTGTTTTTTATCGTGACACCAACACTAAATGGATTGCCAACCAAGGCTCAGAGAGACTCCATTCACCCTCCGCAGGTTTTGAATTCAGAGTTTTCCTTCTCCTAGACCAGTTGCCATCCAAGGCTATAGAACCCAGTCTGTCCTGCTATTTAGCCATAGTTGGAGGGAGAAGAAGAGGATTCACACCTTTCCCAAGGGTATTAGCACGTAAGTGAATGTAATGGATTCGACTGGAATTCGAACTCGGCTCTCCGATTCCTCAATCCACCGTGCCTCCTGATAAATACTTTTATAGCGACTCCTGCGACGGACTTTTTTTTTTTTTTAATTCAAATATTCCATTTTCAGCATGTTATGTGGAATACGTGCCCTTCTGTTTGGTAAGTAATTTTCTTTTTCGCCACTTTTTCCGTCGTAGAATGCACGCGACGCGCTATCGCTTGGTTTGACGAGGTAAGTCGCCGTTTTCTTCGCTGTAGACACATAATGACGAAGGAGGACCTGGAGAATCTGTTACTCACGAGTTAAATAGAAGGAGAGAGAGACCAGGGAAAACAACGCCTGATGCACCTAACGGACTTAAGCAAGCGGATGACAGAACGTGGTCTGGGGGAGGAAGCAGAGGGAATGAACTTGTTGAGAGCTGCAAGAGATAGAAGGAGGTGGGGAGCCATGATCGCCTACACTCTGAAAGGACATGGCACATAAAAAGAAAGAACTCAGCAATAAAATAAAAGAAATTTCATAAGTGAACCAGCCGTCGGTCACACAAGAGGAGACCAGGGGGAAGTGTAAATTATTGGAGAGAAAAGAAAATACCGATTTTTTGTTAGACATTTTGACGGTCGTCTTCGAGTATAGAATCTAGAGGTTTGCAGTGAATATTTCAGAGACAGTAGGAAAGCGTAGTTCAGGTTAGCAGTTGATATCGCAGCAAAGTAGCAGAGCGTAGTAGTTCCTTCTGTCATCTTCGCCTGACAAGTTGGCACTGGTCATTCGGGTAGGGTAAAAAAAAATGGCCGCCTTTATACACGACGGATATAATGTTCTGCGGCTTCTGATTGGTTAACCTTCTATTGGTAGACTATAAAGTGAGTCAAGGCATTTGAACTAACTCACTAGTTACAGTATAAATACTACTCCCTCCCCTTTCGGCCTTGTGCCACAATTCCTTGTATTTTACAAGAATAAATACCCTAGTTACAGTATAAATACACAAAAAACTGCAGCATTTTTTACTAACTGATCGCGCAATATAACGGCTAAGAGCTAATCGGGTTAAAGGGTTACTGAATTACGTTGCTGTATTAACGTAGAAAACAGTAGGAAAGTAATGCCGATAATGAGAATATATAAGAAAAGTTTAACCAAGTTTGTAGCGATCGGGGAAATATCCACTTAGGAGTCTGTTAAGCAAAGTAGCGTTCTTGTGACACTCTGAATGAAACTTCCTTCGTATCAATGGTATATTGTTGTAACCTAGAAAGGGTTACCGAATGAGGAATAACAAAAGCGAAATGAAATCATAATCTTTATAACATCAATAAAATATAATACTTGCCAGCGACGTGAAGTAGGTAAACCACTGCTAGTGGTGGACCCAGTCGTAATTGATCTTACGAGAGAAGCTTGTTAACTATTTCACCATGAAGTGCCCAAGGATTTACTTTTATAGAGAAAAAAATCGATAATAATTCATTCAGTCGCTTGTATTAACAAAAATATGTTTGTTTTTTTCACTTATATATTTTTATATATTTTATTATTCCTTGTTAACTATATCTCTAGATAACTAAAACTTGAGTGTCTGTGTGCGTGCGTGTATAAAGTTTTTTGTTTTGTTTACTTTTGTTTTGTTTTTTGGGCTGTTTTTGTCGTTAGGGATTTCTGTCGTCTTCAATACTGGCGTTAAATATAGCGAAAAATGATCCATTCAGTCATAAACTATCCTTCATTCAATAATGAAAACTTTCATTTGCGCGTGACAAAATTTTATCTACTAGTCTGTAATTCTTTTCGTTTTTCGTTTAAGAAATCCAACCCCAAATTTGTATGATTTCGTATCTAAGAACATATGCAATAACGGTGAAAATTTTATGCGCAGGTATATAAACAAGTTCAATGTATAAAGAAAAATAGAGTGGAGAAAAATAAACGAAACGAAATTATTTTTATCTTTTTATCATTTTCAATAAAGAAATATGTTTTATGGAATGGTCGCAATCTATTAAAGATGTGGAAGTTTAAGAAACACTGCTGCTTTTGACTAGTATATCATCATGGATCCTATTAGGGTCATAACATGGACTGCAGCATGTTTCCTAGGCAAGTCAGCTTGACGAAACCCAATCCACCCCAGGCTTTTTTCTTCATATAAAATACAACCAAGGCTATAGGATCCAGTCTGTTAAGCCTTGAGGAGAAAAGATGGATTCATAAAGCTCATACTGGAATTCGAACACGGCTTTCTTACGCCCCTGTACGAGTAGCTGTCCATAACTCTACCGCTCCTCGTGACTAGCACATACAAAATTAGAAATACTGAAAACGATTTTCCAAATGAGTTCATTTATTACTGAGATTCAGATTAGCGGAAAGATTTAGGAAAATATCAGTTATCTTCATGCTTTTATTTTTTATATATATCTTTCTTAGAATTAAAAACTAAAAAATCATTAAGAATATTTTTGAATGTTTCTTAATCTTTGACGTGCATAAGAAAAAGCAGAACTGACACAAAGAGAACGAAAGATAGAAATAAAAAAGGAAATTAAATGATAATGTAATAGTAATTAAGGAATTAAAAAATGAGAAAATGTGTAAAAGAAAGAAAGAAAGAAAGAAAGAAAGAAAGAAAGAAAATATAACAAACTAATCTGAAAGCAGGAATATTAAATGACAAAAGTATAAAAGAAAGAAAGAAAGAAAGAAAGAAAGAAGGGAAAATAAAATAAAAAAGAATATGAACATGTAAAAGAAAGAAAGAAAGAAAGAAAGAAGGAAAGAAAGAAAGAAAGAAGGAAAAATAAAATAAAAAAGAATATGAACATGTAACAGAAAAAAAGACGGAATTGTAAAGAAAAGAAAAGAAAACTTCAGCGCAAAAACGAAAAAAAAAATGTCGCCAGTATAACTGTCTAAAGAAGGTGGAAAGAAGACTCTAGACGTACAATTGTTACGCTATCCAGGCGTGAAATTGTGTATTAGTGACAGCGAATTGTCAGATGGGTGTTTAGGGTATGTCAATAACTACAAGCGGGAGATGCATTTACTGGTTTTCTTTCAGCGAACACCGGTACTTTCGATTGTTCGTCTCTGTGGTAAATGACGATAGATGACACGGCGGAAAAGGTGATGGCGTTGTGTTCTCTAGCACTGTCTGCGCATGCGCATTGCAGTGTCCACAGGTCGCAAATAATAATGGAGGAAAACTCCGACCAAAGCGAACGAAAGAATGGCTGGCCTCGGACCAAAATTAATTGCCAGGGAAAGCTAATGTAGCATTCGACGAACAACTGGCAATATCCGTGGGCTAAAAAGTTATGGGAATTAAAATAAACTCGTTTCTTTTTCTTGTTTGTGATCTTTTTTTTTCGTTGGTTTATTTGTCGATTTCTGGTTTTAATCTTTTTTTTTTTAATTTCTATCTGTTTTTTTTTTTTTTTTTTTTTTTGGTGGGGGGTTTCTTCCTTTATTTCAGTTGGTTCATTTGGAAATGTATCTTTTTTTATTTTTTTTTTTTTTTTCTCATTCACATCACCACTAATAAGTGTTAAAGATATTGAACCGGCTTGTTGGCAGTGTCTATCATCTTCGCTGGTGAATGACATCATTTCTCATTCAACCATATTCACTTACACGCATGCGCGTACGTCTGGGCAAAATGATGAATCAGAACTATGTTAAAGGTCACGATTTAAATATATTTTTAAAGAATTTCGAACACTTTATTCTGGTCGTATAATGTTACGTATAAGCTGTTAATCTCAGTATCTCATTTGATAAAAAAAAATAAATGTTTTGGCTGGTTGACTTTGATCCAAGACGATTGGTGTAGTGGAATAATTTCGTTTTGACAAATCGATCGTTGATCTTCGTCTTACGGGAAGATAAGAAAATTGCAAGTCGGATTTCTTCGTTTGGTTTGCTGAGTTCTGGTTCTGTTCGGCGTATAGATTGTAGAGAGGATGAAAATTTGACAGGAAACGATGTGTTCTTTTTCAGTCAATAAGGAACCCATTTCGCCAGACGAATTCCGATCACAATGAAGAACGGCTATGTTTTAATGCCTCTTCTGCCTCCGTCTTTATTTCTACTTGCTAGTAGTTGGTAATACTGAGTACTGGGATTAACTGGTCATTTTGTTACTTTTTATGATAAAATTCTACGCATTCATACGTATAGCCAAATCACGTGACTTGATTACAGATTTAACTTCGGTAATATTGACGTGTTACCTTAAAGTTTACCACCACTGTAATCAAGAAAATACAGTAAAAGTGCAGTGATCTCACAATTCCCTACTGCCCCGACCACATGAATTTAAGCGTGCTACTAGATTGGCAATTAGGTCCCACCCTTTTGTTGTTGAAATAGTTAAATATAGCCGACACTTCTACTCCAACAGTTTCTTTTCTCGCACTTCCTGACCGTAGAACTCCCTTCCGCTTACTTGCTTCCCTGGTAACTACAATCTTCAAAAATTTAAAAGCAACGTCAAGCGCCATCTTCTTTTCATCTTTTATCCTTTACTCGCCCCTCTATGCCTAGTCTTTTCTCTCACTTTCACAATCTGTAACCCGCTGCGTGTTAAAGTATTTGGTGGGGGGAATGTTTAAAAAATCTCCATGGTCAACCTTAGACTGGACACATATAGAATATCATCCAATATCGCGGTAGCATAAATATCAAAATCTGCTATACGAATTGATAGAAATCTACTCAGATTGGACTAAATTTGAAATCCAGCAGACGTTAACGGTTTCAGTAGGAGAAAATAAAACAACTCTCTAGCCGCAGCAACAAATAGTGATCATCAATTACCCTATATACAGTGCTGTTCGATAAAAGTGACTCACCTGATTTTTTACTTAAAATTTTTTTTCGCCTATTGTTTTTGGGGTCAAACTACTTTTTAATCTTACTAATATAAAGACCCCTTCCCGACCACCTAGTAAAAAAAGTTTACTCACCCTAAGGTATTCTATTGATAATTATAATTTTGGATATAAATGAGATTTAGGGAAAAACTCTGTGCAAAAAAAGTGACTCACTTATTTCCTACAACTAGTAATCAATAGAAACATGACCGAACAGTTTTAAATAAAGAATAATAGAGGTATAATTTATTTATAATAGGTAATATGGTTCGAAATATTTAATAATCTATGAGTCCTCCTTTATTTTGAATAACCTTTTCAACCCTTTTTGGCATTGACTTGATTAGGTTCTGGCAAATCTCAACTCCAAGCATTGAATTCCATTCGGATATGAAATTCACAATCAAATCCTCTTTGTTGCTCAACTGCTTTCTCGAGAGCCTGTACTTTATAATGCTCCATAAGTTTTCTATGGGGTTGAGGTCAGGAGATTGGGGCGGCCATGTCATAACACTCACCTGCTTCTCATCAAAGTATTCTTTCATCAGTTTTGATTTGTGACAGGGAGCATTATCCTGCATAAAAATGAGCTTGGTGGGGTCGATTTGCACCCTTTCAACAGAAGGGAGCAGACAAGACTCTAAAATACTCTTGTACTGCTCGCTCCTGAGGGTCTTTTCAATAGGTTTTAAGAAACCAGTTCCATGAAAAGAAAAGCATCCCCAGAACATTATAATGAACGGATGCTTGATAGTACTTAGTGCTAAATTCAAAGAGCTTTCAAAGCGTCTTCTTCGGATTTTAGATCGCTTATCCTTTGAATTTAGCTCAACTTTCGTTTCATCGGAGAAGAGAACATTTAGTAAAAAATATCAGGGGAGTCACTTTTATCGAACAGCACTGTACCAACACAGTTTTCTCAAAATACAGGTTTTACTATCATTCCAGCCTGAGGACGCCTACTAGAAGGACAAGTGTATTGGAATAGTTTTTTTTTCCACTTTGTTTTAATATTTCCAATAATTTTTCAAGTTTTCAAATTTTAAATTAGAGAAAGCTCGAAAATAGTTTTAATGATTTTTTTTTTCTTTTAGATTTAACAATTTAAGCTTTTGACACTTTTAACCATGGAAACATTAACAATCAAAGAACGTGTTAAAGTTATCGAAGCCTATTATGAAAATGGACGTTCAAACAGAAATGCATTTCGAGCACTTATTTTGGTCAACATAATCGACCAACCGAGGGTGCAATTGGAAATGATGTAAAATTGTTGTGGAGAGGTTTAATTCCTGTGCGCGATGATGAACAGAGGTGTCTGGATTTTCGGCCATATTTTCGTACACTGCAGCAATGTTATCAGGTGAACGGCGCAAACGAACACGCATTGGTGTTTTCACACCTGCCACCGGCCCAGTTAGTTTGAATTTACGAACAATTTTCCCAATTGAACTCTTGAAACTTGAAAACGTTGTTTGATTGTTAATCTTTCCATGGTTGAAATTGCCAAAGACTTCAGTTGTTAGATATGAAAGAAAAAGAAAAAAAATCATTAGACGCTTTAATTTAATTCACATTTAAAATCGGTCCAAGTTATTGGAACACCCTTTATTTTTTCAACGAGTTACTTCTATGCATAAATACATATTACTAAATAAAATTTCTACATTTGTCTTGATAAAGTTCCTTAAGGAATAAAACGTCTTGGTATAAAAAAGTTTTCATCTTTTCTTTTATGTATAGTGACTTTACAGATATACTCTAGTTATATCTGAAGTTTTACACACACTCACAACCACCAACACACATATGCATACACAGGCAGACATAAATATATCATTTAAACGAAATGAAGGCAAAAACAAAGAAAACTTAGAGAATAACTCCATCCTACACTTTGCATATGAACTTTATTTTAATAATAGGATCTATGTCTCTTGTAAATCACCAGCAAAAATCCGTGTCTCCTCAATTGCCAAAGTGAATGTCCTCATAGATATAAAATAGCCGTTATGAGAACACGTGAAAAGCAGAGCTAAATTAGTTTCTTCCTCAGACGCGTTATTTTAGAAAGAATTAAGCAGAGAAGAGCGAATATTTATTACCAATAATTTCCTCAGTCCTTTCGTTGAGAAATAAATAAAATTCGTTTTAAAGAATTTTAGATGTATAACACGAGGAATCGTTTTACTATAAACAACAATAAACACAAGGACACATGGCACAGTGGATAAAGGCGTTGGTTAGATCCAGTGACAGGACCCAAAGAGTGTGAGTTCAATACCCGGTTAAGGCAGTGGAGAACATTCAGAGGGAAATTAACAGGAGGTAACTGATAACTGATATCCATTAAACATGGCACGTGGAACTAGAACAGTCTACCCCAGTGAGCGAAATAAAGGGTTCAGTTTGACATTCCAACCACTTGAAGAAGGCCAGAGCGTACAACGGCCGAAACGTTGTAACAAAGATGGCGACAAAGATGAGGACAATAGTCCGAATAATGTAAACAATAAATACATCATTAACTTTTTTTATCGTAACCATCGTCATCCTCTCTCTCTCTCTCTCTCTCTCTCTCTCTCTCTCTCTCTCTCTCTCTCTTCACTTTTTCCCTGCCCTTAGTGGCGGTGGTGAACATGGCTGTGAATAAGAGAGAGAGTATGGTGACGTCATTTGTTTTATTTTGGTGGACAAGTGCAGATCGATTGATTAATTGACTGATTTGTTGTTGTTTTTTTTTTTTGTTTTTTTTTATGGTTTTACAACATTCTGTGGATTATGTAAAGTCGAGACATATTTAGGCTTGTATGAATCATTACTTGTGCCACTGAATATGACATTAACTATTTTTTGAGAATCACCAATTATATTATTTTCAAATACAAGTCCTACTATTTAACCCATATTTGGGGGATAACGATTCATAATTCTCCAAGTGGATTTATATATAATTGAATGTAACGAATCCGACTGGTATTCTGAAGTCTGTTATCGAATTTCTAATTTCGAACCGACTGACAAGGAACGTGTTTACATTAATACTTGTTGTATAAAATACTTTTTTTTTATCATTAGGCAATTTGTTATATACCATACCTATGAACACTAATGGCTATGTCCCAATCCTCATAAATACGTTGAACGCTATTTTATGTGTGTGAGGGGTAATACAACTGATTAAGTGTTCATCACTAGCAGTGGTTTACCTATTTCACGGCGCTGGCGAGTATTGAATTTGTTGATTTTATAATGTTTACTATTTCATTTCCAATCACCGTTTTGGTTATTCCTCATTCAGTAACCCTTTCTAGGTTACAACACAGGTACACCATACATGTAGGAAAAACAGACATAAAGACATTCTTTTGTGTGCAGTGACTATATATATATATATATATATATATATATATATATATATATATACTTATTTAAAGAATTATTTGGTAATAATCCTCTATCAACTTATATCACCTTAAAGCTGCCTCCTCAAAAACATGTGTATAAGAATAATAATATGTAAGTTTTCAAACCATTTTTTCCTGTTTTGAAATGGGATCCCATGAACCAGGATGAAAATCCCGTTCCTTGTGAAATAAATTATAATCCCTTAAATTTGTCTGTTTCTAAATTTAACTTTAGTATCTCGTCACTCGTACCATCGTGAGACAACTGCATCATCATCTAAATGACCACGTGAAACTTTTAGTCGTGGAAAACAGCAACATATGTGCATTGTGTTATTTATATTTGTATTTTTTTTATTGTACATTGAGCACTGTCGCTCCTGTTTTCATTTATTATACAATTTGTCCCCACCCCGCCTATAAGAGTAAATGTTAAAAATTGTATCTTCAGGTTTGTGAATTCTTTACCTATTGCCATGATGATAAGCTTCTTGCACGAATATCAATTACAGAATATTCTTTTTTTTTTTATTTTTTAGACTAAAAACATCTGATAACATTATTGGAACATTCTAGAATATTCCACGTGAATAATCTAGAGTATTAAAGCAATTTAAAAGTTGTAAAAACTAAAATTTGCATTGTACAAAAGCTTTTTTCACCCATTAAAATGGATAAAAGGGGTTTATTTTTATTAAATCATTTTTTCTGTTTTCTATGCATGTTTAGTTATT